GTAGCCCGGCGGTGGTGTCCCAAACGGAAGGGGTCCTCTGGCCCCTGGTAGACGGCGGGCGTAGCAGGGCTTCCGGATTGTCGATCTGGGGGCGCTGTGCGCCTCTGCCACTGCGGGTACTTGCTCGCCCGGAGGCCGTATCTTATCCGGCGAAATCCGCACGGTTCATTGTCGATGATCACTGGCGATCGACGCGGTGATTTTCGACCTCTTTCAATCCGATCGGTAGTTGCTCGCGCTGGCGATCCAGTGCGGGCTCAACCTCTGTAGTTATCCCCTCCACAAGAGTACCAAAATGTGGTATAACTACCTTCGTCCCGACCACTCGGAACGAGGGGGGTTAGAGGTAAGGGAGCGCGCGCCTCTGGATAACCCACGCGAGCGCAAACCGTACGGAACGACTCGAAAAGAGGGAAGGCTCACGTGGCCGGTGAAGCACAGCCGGTCGGCGGTGTTAGATCCGGACGGCCGGTCACGGGTTAGAAGCGTGAGACTTAGAGGTAAAACCGGACGGAGTTAGCAAAAAGCCGTAAAGGGAAGGGAGGCGAGTCTGCCCCCGTTTACTGGAACAGGGCAGGTGCCCACGGTCTTAACCCCTAAGTGCTACGCCAGGACACCTGTCCCGCTACAGTAGCTGTTACTTACTGTATACCAGCTACTGTGCTAAATTGGCTCATTTGTGCCATTAACTACTAATTACTTACCGTTCGGATCCTACACGTGTAACCAGCGGGGTACTACTGTACTCCGCACCGGCCGTGTGCTGTAAATATAACTCCTTACAGTTCTTCTCGCGCTTACAGCCATCGTACTGTATCCTGGGGCGGCAGCGGTGGCGCCGTTGCCTTCGCGCCGTTGTACTACACTAAGCTAGAAAAGCTTCTCAGTATCAGCACCCTCAAGGCGCGCGTCGCTGAGTTACATCCGATCGTACGAGATACTGTGGACAAGAACCGGAATCTCGGACGAAAAAAAGCCTCAAGTGGAACGCTGCCGAATTTTACGGATGGAGACTTCGTGCTTGTTGCCAGGGAAGACTTCTTCGCGGGTGAAAAACTTGCTCTCCGTTGGCGCGGACCGCGACGCGTGCTACGCGCAATAAATGACTACGTCTACCTAGTCAAGGATCTACGAGTCGGAGAATCGGAAGAGCAATGCCAGCAGGCTTAAGTTCTATCATGATCCGACGCTGGACACAGACGCATTTATGTCCCATGTTCTACAATCCGAAACCGGAATGATAGTACAGCGCCTCTTGCGACTGGAAGAACACCTTGATGGCGTCTACGTTGTAGTCCGCTGGAAGGGCTTACCGAATTCGGATGATACTCTCGAGCCCATTGTTAAGGTTTACGAGGATGTTCCTCGTATGCTCGAACGTCTGCTGAAACGCAAGAACAGTCCTCGCGAGCTGGTCGAAAAAGCTCGGAAGATTCTTGCGCTTTGAAAGAGGGGAGTGTGACTGATGGTCTGGTTCTACTCTAATTCCGAACTCGGTTTTCTGTAGATGTAGTTTCTACGGTGTAATTTAGAATAATCAAGAGCTGGCCTGTAATTAGAACAGCAGCTCATTCCGGATTCCGGTTTGACTTAAGCGCCGACGAGTTCGCTTCTCGTCAATAAACCCTCATCGATCCTTCATCTGCACAACCAACAACATACTTTGGTTATCCCGACTCCTCGGTCCCCGGAGTTATTACACTTGTGCTTGCTCCACAAGAAGGAAAAAGATACTCTCGACACCGCAGTTCAGTTGTGTGTTGCGGAAGGACGGCGTTTAGTGAGCTCTGGACGTGTTTTGCGGCCTTTTTTAGAATGTCTAGAAAATAAGCGTTTTTGACCAACCGCAAAACGTTATGTGTTGATATCTTTGGAAACCAAAACGCCTGTTTAAAAAGTCAACCTGGTATTGAAACTTGAATAGATTCTTAGCGTTTGTGTGTATTGACACCTGCTATGCCAACGTTTTGTAAGACATTATTGCCAAGGGCATGTACGTTAAAGAAATGGTGTCCAACTGACTTTGTAAAGTTCCGATATAATAAGGTTGTCCGCAATAATAAGGCGCTGTTTTTTATTTGGCCACAAAATCGCTGGATGTAAAGTAAACCCGAGTTTGAAAAATTCCGCCACGGGTTTCGCGGACTGACCTCCAGCAGGGTGGGTGCCTGCCCGCAACAAACGCAAGTCTGGTACAACGTTGTGCCGCCCGACGGATCACGGGCACCTGCGCGACTCCCTCGCTGAGGCAAATATTGTAGCTCGTCACAAGGATGGATAGAAAGGTTCTCAGTCGAAAGGGCGATGTGTTTCGTCTTCTTGACAGGCTAAGGGTAGCCGTTTGGAAAGGACTGCTTTTTAGAAGCTCGTACTTGTCTATCTTTGGCGGTTGCTTCGGTGGCATCTGTGGCAGATCCTGTCGCGCTTTGATCCATTGATGGATTCTGCGCAGATGAAGCGATGCGGGCGTCCATGACGCATATCGATACGACCCGTGCAGTCTGAGACTCGTTTGTTTGTCCTGATGAAAAGAACGAAAAACCCAGTTCGTGTTCCTGCAAGACGGGTCAATCCGGCAGTGGTGTGATGGGGCGGATGTGAAACTCGTGGAAAACTCACATGGCGCCAGTTTTCGGTATGATATGAGTTTTGCCAAACGCGTTGTCTGGAAAAGTTTCGAAATTACGCGTTTTCGTGACTTTGCAGACAAGCTTAGGGTCGTTCCAACTCAAAAAGTTTGTGTACGGTATGGTATGGATTTCCATAATGTACATTGAAAACTTTTAATTTTGTTCCAAGCAGTGTACAGTATCACAATGTATGTAGTTTGAGTAGTACTGTCGACAGTCGGAGGCCAACTTGTTATAGCCGCAATGATATTTCGCATGTCGGTCCTGAGGTCGATCGCACGATGGATCGAGAGGCTGAGGAGGAACCTCTTCTTTCTTTTGGAGAGCTACAAGCACTGTCGACCGGCATGGAGGCGTGCGCTCCTGTTCTGCATCTTGAAGGGCAGAGGCGTCCCATCTTTCCACTTGGCGGGGTGGAGGCCTGGGCGAGGACATGATGGTTTCTCAGGGGTGCGCGTGGTGTCACTCTGTGGAGACATGCAGGGCGTTGTGATAACAGCACCGAGATATAAAATCAAGCTGACAATCTGTCTGCTCCGCCATATCAAAAGAAGAAGATCCCGATTCGAAATTGCCAATCGAGTTCCGTAAAAAAAGTGAGGTGGGGAATTGCAGGGGAACGGCTTGCAAGTCCCAAATGCGGTACGCGTGAAATGGAGCTGTGCCAGTGTATGGAAGAAGTTTTGGTAATGTATGCTCAATGAGCGGCTGCCATCGAAAACCCATACCGTACCGTACATTAAATATTGGAGTTGGAACGACCCTTAATGGTGGGTTGTACGCGTCAATGTACACTGTGTGTATAGGGGTGAAACTTGTCCTTACGCGTACGTGTACATGTGTATACGTGTACACCTGCACCCGTAGGGACGGCGGAGGGTACTGCCCCTTAAGGGCAGAAGGGGGATAGAAAGATAAAGGGAGGAAGGGTGCAACGGAAGACTTGACAACTTCACAAAACGCCACAGGAATAGCACGCGTCTGTAAGCACTTACTGACAGCCGGGCGTCTCGCTGTACCCGCTTCGCCGCCGACCCATAAGTAGTACAAGCGAGCTGTCCTATCTCGCTACCTCTCCTCCCCATGTCTATTTCTCTCCAACCCATTCCCGGCACTGCCGCCCTCGTGTCGTGTCTCCTTTTTTCATCATGTCTTTTTCTCTTTCTTTGTTTTCCTTTTGAATCTTTCGTCCTTTTTAATGTTTGATTCGTCCTGTTCTACTGTAGCGCTACTGTAGCATGTTGGATCCTGTTTAGCTGATGTCCCACTGACCATCAACCATCGTAAAACTACAAATATCTTCAGTATATATATTTTTGCAAAAAGCAAGGTGGGGTCATACGTATGAGGCAAATCGGTTGTCGTCTACTGTATACGTGTAGCTTCCTCTCAAGAGGTAGACACCAGAGCGGTTTCAGGTTGCTTCATCTGAAGGCAGCCTTTCTGTGGCAAGAATGAAGTTATATATGAATCAACCGTTGAATTTTCAAGATGGGTGGGCGTGTGGAAACAGGACTGACTCCCTTGGTCAGCGTGGACTGTAGTTCCCCAACGTACAGTGCGCACTGAAAGTATAAGGACACCATTGAAACCTTGACCTTACACAAAAATACGAAAGATATGATCATGAAAAGCAGCTCAAACGAAAGGGAAGAGAAAGATTGTACAGAAACGGCAATTGTTTTTATAGTTTGGTACTTGTACAGTGACTTATCTTTAAAAAACTAAATACAACCGCACTGTAACCATAAGGACAAACACAAAAAGTACAATCAAAAGCCTTCTTTATTTCGATCTCAATTAGACGCACGGACGCCATTCTTCCGCAAAACAGCAATGCAACGCCTCTGCATCGATCCAACGAGAATCTCAAGAATACTGTGGTCGATATTCTGCCAGCAATGGACAATAGCCTCAAACAGCTCTACAGTATCCTGATACTGCCTCCCATTTCCATACACACTCCTTGCTATCCGATAGATTTTCGATGGGATTGAGGTCTGGTGAATGCGAAGGCCACGGCAAAAAGCAACGCCATTGTCCGTAAACCATTTCTTAGTATAAAAAGAACGATGTATAGAGGCGTTATCTTGCTGATATGTCCAATTCTCACCATGCGTCACTGCCGCAAACGGTAGCAAATCGTCCTTAAGTAGTTCACAGTACCTTCCAGCATCATTTTTCCCATACATTATTACTAAATTTTTCCGTCCGTAGTAAGAGAAGCAAGACCAAATCATTAAGGAATCACCTCCTTGGTGACCTCTGCTTAAAACTTTTTTCTCCTTTCTTAAGTCATGCCAGTAGTAATGACAACCATCGGGGCCATCCAAATTGAACTTCTTCTCGTCAGAAAAAAATAATTTTGTTCTATTTCTCATCATGCCAAGTAACATGATTTGTAGGCCAATCTAGCCTTTGTTTCATATGCATCGGAGTGAGGACTAGAGGACTTATAAACTTGGTGTACTTTATATTTAGATTAGTATCTTTCCTCAAAAGGGCTTGTACGCGCGACCGGTGGACCGGTAAATCGAGTGCCTTGCAGATCTGATTGGCAGACTTTTCTCCTTTAGAAACCTCCCTTATTACCCTGCGCTTTAAAGCGGGCATTAGTTTAGGAGGTCTTCCACTCCTCTTTTTAGATCTATATTCCTGCGGATTCTTTATAAAGTTGTGCACGACGGTCTTCGATCTGTTGATGGACTCTGCGATCTCTCGGACAGACAAACATTCGTTGTGGAGAACGAGAATTTGACGTTTTTCCATGTCTGTTAATTGCTTCCCTTTCGGCATGTTAAATAGCTAGATGGTGGGCATCGGTTGGCGGGGATGGCCAGCCATGTTCGAGAAGATAGTACGGTACCGTTTTGGTTGGGCGAAAAATGGTTTACTCTGCTACGTTATTGGTAATCGTGTAGTGTCCTTATAATTACAGTGCGGTGGTATTTAGGTTTTTAAAGATAAGTCACCGTACAAGAAGTATCATACTATTAAAACGATTGCAGTTTCTGTACACTCTTTCTCTTCCCTTTCGTTTGAGCTGCTTTTCATTATCATATCTTTCGTATTTTTGTGTAAGGTCAAGGTTTCAATGGTGTCCTTATACTTTCAGTGCGCACTGTACATACGGTAAAGCTTTACATATGTGTTCGCGGGCAATAGAATTTGGGATAACATGCATGGGGGATGGCATTGGTGAGTAGAATGAAAGGCGAAGAATTGTTCGAAGTTGAAAGTATGTGCGACTTTGTGAATTGTGAATTTGGTTACGAAGAAGTGAAAGAAACTGTCGGACTTATGAGGTCTTGGAGACTCGAGATACTCGACAGATAATTGGTCACACGTCAGCCCAAAACGAGATCGAGATCGACTCGAAATAATAAGAAATTTACATTCAGTCCGTCGGCGATTAGCGCCGACGAGACTGAGTCCACCACATATACCTGGGTACGATCTTCATCACTAGTAGAGGAGGCAGTTGGGTCTATCGAAGTAAAGTGCATTTTATGCGTATCTTTGACAGAAGGGAGGAGACCCCTCTACCCAACATCCTGTTCTCCTTTTTCTCCACACCCCCTCCCGCACGAGCCTTTACTGCTCGACGATTGTACGACGAGAACCTCGTGCGCAGAGAGCAAAGAAGATTTCCAACGACAATCCGGATTCTGGATACTTATCTTCGCTCATACGTTTACCTTGAATCTACTTGTTCCCTAGTGGTTGACCACCATGCCTACCGCTACCCGTGCTCAAGTGAATGCTCGGTACCAGCGCCTCAAGCGATCTGCATCTATAGTAGAGCCCACTACTGAACATTGAAAACAACTACGGGACGTAGCTCTCTATACCCTCAACCTGTACCCCATAGCCGACGAATCGGGAAGTTCTGCGGGTGTAACTATGCCCCCTATTGATGAAGTGAGAGAAGCCATGAAGAGTTTGATGCCGTCACCTGAGGACATTCTGACTGTGGAACTACTACGCGCGCCTTTGTTCCCTCTTGCTTTGTAACGGGATGTTGCCACTCTCTATGGATTTGGTGGTGTTCTTGACGGTTTGAGCACAGCATTAGAACTGAGTTCTACTGATACCAGCAACCGTTCGATCATGACACACGTTTGGTTTACAAACTTCTTAGGGTGCTCTCACGATACTATTAGCACCGCTGTGGGAACGTATCGTCGTACTCGGAGATCACCCAACCTCCTAACCAGACAAAGGAGTGCTGCAACTGAAGCACCCGTGTTTTTAACTGCAGGTGTCCAAGCAACACTACAAGTCGTACCAGCGGACAACAGGGGCAATTCCGGTGACACTCCGTCTTCGATACCGAATGTTATTACCACTCCGAGAGGTAATGGAACTTCCCAGCATACTCATCATCGTCAAGCTATCAATGTTGCAGGAGCGGAACATGGCATTCGTAATGGTAATCAAACAAATGGTGCTGTCTCACCGTCTACGACTGTCGCAGGGGTCGAATCTGCCCTTCCGTATTCGGTAGATGTGAGAGAAGACACTCGAAAGGCAAACTATGTATTTCAGCACTTCAAGGATAACCGTTTTACCGGTGGCCTGACTCAGTCAATCGAAATGACGCTTAGCGACTACAACATATGTGCACGTCAACATCGCTTGTCTACTTCGCAACAGGCAGACTACTTTGTTAACATTCTTAATGGACCGGCAAGGACATTCTTCTTCAACAACGCTAGAGATGATATGTCTTTTGAACAGATGGCAGAGATGATGGTGACAGAATTCAACAGCAACGCACGCCAAATCCAAGTATATGGAATACTGTCTACGTTAAGAATGAACAGTATAATGTCGGAACATGAGCTATCCTCATCCACTGAGGGCCTGACTAAGGTTGTCAGCATGATCGAAGAGATGTCACCACAATGCCTTCCACATTTTAGATCTGAACCGCACAAGATCGGATACTTGCGCAACGCTGTATTGTGCTACTCTTGGTCGAAGACTCCCATAAGTAATATTGTCACTGCGCAATACTCATTCAATGGATTTATCACATCACTCCGTGAGAACATGCAACTTGAGGAAGAGATACTCAATGTATCCAGGAGACCTACGGGTATCCGACATGCTTTCTCAGACGACATTTTCGTACAACAGTATGGCCGCAACCCGAAGTATGTGCAGAAGTACCCTCCGAGAGGAGGATTCAAGGGTGGACAACAATTGAATATTGGTCGCCCGGGCATTGCTTCTTCTCCCGCAAATCGTACTTTCGAAGAGAGCAGACGTCGGAACGAATGTCATAGATGTCGTGTGGCATGGCGTCCGGGACATCGATGCAAAGCCGGATCTATTCGGAATCAGGTGCGTCAGCGGATGGTCAATGGCGAATCGGCAGTACATGTCATGTCTGACTTTGTCGCAGCCCTGGAGGGAGAACTCACTCAAGACCTCCCTCAATCGACGGATACCCCAAACAATTTGACACACGACAATGAAGCAACAGACCCGCACGTCCACTTCAGCAAGAAACCACACGAGGTATACCTGTTCGAATCATTAACGTCTGACAATCCTGTTCATGATATTGCTGCCGTTGAAGAGGAAGATAAGGAATGGTTCACCCATCACTTATCATCATCCATGTCTGAGGGACATACTCCTTACGGCACAAACATCGATGGGCAGGATTTTTAACTCGGCGACGAAGTAATCAGCCTCAACTTCGCCGCCCAGCGCGATGGGCAGCCTCCCATCGCACCACTCATCCGAGGCGCAAACAATCTCCCGTCGAAGTCGATGCGACTCACATTCATGCAACGAAATTGAACAACTATAACCGTTGCCGTTATCAAGGCTTTTGCATTGACATTGGAGCACCGAAATCTGTCATAGGACATGAAGAGCTGACTTGGATATTCGCCCAACAAGACTTGAGATCTCCGAATCTCTCACAGCCACCGTTTCAGAACCGTTTCGGCTTTGCCGAAACCACTTTTGAGTCGCTTGGACAGATTACAATACCACTTAAGACACCCTTCGGTGTTGCTCCTATCAACGTGCACCTTGATGTCGTTCAAGCAGACATTCCAGCTTTACTTAGGATGGACATCTTGGACCGGGAATCCCTTATCGCAGACACTGTCGCGAATCGTCTGACAAAGCGAAAAAGGATCGAGAATAAGAAAGGAAGGATATGTTACATTAATAAATGGTCCGTACCCCTGTACAGGGCTAAAAGCAATCATATTTTCGCCAAAATGTACTTCCCACCGAATATCTACTTCAGCAGAACACAACTTCAAAAACTACACAAACAATTCTTTCATCCGTCAGCTCAGAAGCTGTTCAATTCTCTCCGCCGTTCTCGACCAGAAGAAGCTACCCCTGGTACTCTGGAAACGTTACGGGATCTCGCAAAGAGGTGCGATCCTTGTCAAAGGGTCCAGAACGCACCATCACGTTTCAGGGTATCTTTTGGAGCAGAGAACGTCCGCTTCAATGAGAGAATACTTTTAGATATCGTGTACATCGATGGAAAACCGGTCTTGCATATTGTAGATGAAGGTACGCATTTCTCTGCAGCACAATTCCTCCCAGACGTCTCAACGAAGACAATATGGGCGACAATACTCAAATGTTGGGCGACGATTTACACAGGTCTACCCAACCGAATAGTAGTCGACCAAGGGAGCGCATTTGGACCGCTATTCATCAACATTGGTGCTGTGTCTAATGTAAAAGTGAATAGAACTGGGATAGAAGCCCACTCAAGTCTTGGACTCTGTGAGCGATACCATCAACCCCTCAGACAAACTTATCGGAAGATAATGATGGAGCATCCGACTTCTGACCCCGACACGGCTTTGGCCTTGTCAGTCAAAGCCATGAATGACACCCTGGGCCCTGAAGGACTTGTTCCATCTGCTCTTGTCTTTGGAGAATTCCCTAAGGTATATACCAAGTCAGAGACCCCAAACGAAAGAGCCGTCCTTGCGAGCCGGGCTAAATTGGCACATCTTGCAAGAACTCAGATGGAGAAACACATGGCAGAACTACGGGTGAAGAGGGCTCTGAAACATTCTACTCCACCAGCGTGGGACCGTGTCTACGAACCTGGAGACCAAGTGCTCGTGTGGAGGGAGAAGCAAGTCGACAACCGCATAGGCGAATGGTTAGGACCCTTTACAGTCCTTGCCGTGGAAGAGACAAAGAAGCTTGCATTCATCCAGGATGTAAGAGTTGGAGCTGCGAGACCGTTTAATGTAGCACAATTGAAGCATTACCATGCACCAGAAACCATAGCACACTCCTTTTTCACACAGTTAGGTCAAGGTCTCAACTTCTTCTCCTCACCGAATGATCACGAAGTTCATCTCACCGAGATTCTTGACAAAGGTGATCCCCGATCTCGCTCCAAGAAAATGGGCGAGGCAAAGCGCAAGGAGATCAAAACTTTGCTGGAACGCGGTACCTTTAAGGTAATATTGCGTGAAGAAATCCCTCCTGACGGAAACGTCCTTCCTGGACGATTTGTACTAGCTCTTAAGTCAACTGAGGACGGGAACATCAAATATAAGGCTAGATATGTAATCGGGGGGCATCGAGACCGATTCAAGCACATGATGGTACACACAACATCAACTCTTCAGCCCCAATCCATCCGACTACTCCTGGCCCTAGCTGGGATACACGGCTTCAACATATGGACTTCTGATGTTCGCCAAGCATATCTCCAATCTGCAGAACCTTTGGCACGTGAAGTATTCATAATGAATACCGTCCCTGAGTTTGAGCTACATCCGTCGCAG